TACCCAGTAGTACAATTTTTGGGTCATAGGGTAGCTCTATTTTCAACTTTTTGAGGAACCTCCATACGGTTTTCCAGAGTGGCTGCACCAGCTTGCATTCCCCCCAGCAGTGTAGGAGGGTTCCCCTTTCTCTGCATCCTTGCCAGCATCTGTTGTTTCCTGACGTGTTAATTTTAGCCATTCTGACTGGTGTGAGGTGGTATCTCATTGAGGTTTTGATTTGGATTTCCCTGATGCTGAGCGATGTTGAGCCCTTTTTCATGTGTCTGTTGGCCATTTGGATGTCTTCTTTGCAGAAATGTCTGTTCATGTCTTCTGCCCATTTCTTGATTGGATTATTTGTTCTTTGGGTGTTGAGTTTGATAAGTTCTTTATAGATTTTGGATACTAGCCCTTTATCTGATATGTCATTTGCAAATATCTTCTCCCATTCTGTCGGTTGTCTTTTGGTTTTGTTGACTGTTTCCTTTATTGTGCAAAAGCTTTTTATCTTGATGAAGTCCCAATAGTTCATTTTTGCCCTTGCTTCCCTTGCCTTTGGCGATGTTTCTAGGAAGAAGTTGCTGCGGCTGAGGTCGAAGAGGTTGCTGCCTGTGTTCTCCTCTAGGATTTTGATGGACTCCTGTCTCACATTGAGGTCTTTCAACCATTTTCAGTCTATTTTTGTGTGTGGTGTAAGGAAGTGGTCCAGTTTCATTCTTCTGCATGTGGCTGTCCAATTTTCCCAACACCATTTGTTGAAGAGACTGTCTTTTATCCACTGGACATTCTTTCCTGCTTTGTTGAAGATTAGTTGACCATAGAGTTGAGGGTCCATTTCTGGGCTCTCTGTTCTGTTCCATTGATCTATGTGTCGGTTTTTGTGCCAGTACCTTAACTGTCTTGATGATTACAGCTTTGTAATAGAGCTTGAAGTCCGGAATTGTGATGCCACCAGCTTTACTTTTCTTTTTCAACATTCCTCTGATATGCCCATATGTTGTCACGTACCTATGGTGTTCACTTTGTGTGAATATACTGAGATCCTAGCTACATGGTTTGCATCCCCAGGAAAAGCTTTGACCTACTGTGTTTAATTTCCTCTCAAAACATTCATTTTCAGACCCTTTTAGTGCATGTAATCACCATGGGATTCTTGGGTTTCTCTTCATTGTTTAGTTTTTCTGAGGCCAAGCTCTGTTGTTTTATATGAACATTTTAGTTATAGAAACCTTACACCTGGCTCCTCTTTTATTGTTTTTTTTTTTTTTTTTTTTAAGGATTTTATTTATTTAACAGAGAGAGACATAGCGAGAGCAGGAACACAAGCAGGGGGAGTAGGAGAGGGAGAAGCAGGCTTCCCGCAGAGCGGGAAGCCTGATGTGGGACTCGATCCCAGGACTGTGGGATCATGACCTGAGCCGAAGGCAGACGCTTAACGACTGAGCCACCCAGGCGCCCGCTGGCTCCTCTTTTAAATAATCCATCTCTGAAACTAATAATATATTATATGTTAACTAATTGAATTTAAATAAAATAAAATTAAAACAAAACAAGTAATCCATCTCATTTTCCTATTAAACATAGTTGCATTTTTCAGACCATGCCCCAGTTTTTGGTTCTTAATATCTCATTGAAGCCATGGAACACTTTCTAAGCTCTCCAAACCCGCAAACATGGCATTATCGGGATGTTTCACAGTTTTCTGTGGGAGTGTCAGGTTGTCATGGTATTATTATTTTTTTATTTTTTATTTTTATTCTTTTAAGTAATCTCTCTGCCCAGTGTGGGGCCTGAGCTTATGACCCCAAGATTAAGAGCCACTTGCCCTACTGACTGAGCCAGCCAGGCACCCCTCATGGTATTATTTTTTAAATAAGAGGTTTGTTTATGGGCGCCTGGGTGGCTCAGTCGTTAAGTGTCTGCCTTCAGCTTGGGTCATGATCCAAAAAAAAGGTTTGTTTATGTTAAAGACTATTAAAATTAAAGAGAAAGGAAGATTTTTCTGCAAGATTAAAGCTTACCATTTTAGTATATCTATACAGTGAAATCTTATTCAGCCACAAAAAAAAATGAAGAATACATGATACAACATAGATAAACCCTGAATACATTATGCTAAGTGAAAGACTTGGGACATATAAGGCCAGATATTATATAATTCCATGGATATGAAATGCAGGAAATTCATAGAGACAGAAAGTAGATTAGTGGTTTCTGGGGACTAGGAATAGGGGAATATGGAGAGTGACTGCTAATTGGTATGGGGTTTTCTTTTCGGGTGATGAAAATGTTCTGGAATTAGATAGTGGTGATGGTTGTACAACCTTATGAATATACTAAAAACCACTGAATCGTAAACTTTAAAAGGGTGAATTTTGTGGTATGTGGATTACATGTCAATTTTTAAAAAAGCTTACTATTTTAAAGTATCTCTATATAAAGACTTTAAAAACATGGTTGTCACAAAACTGGGGTATGTGATAGTGGGTTACAAGGTAAATGATATCATCACTTTCTTACTGTATGACTGTGGATGAATTATTTAACCTCTGTAAGTCTATTTCCTAATCTTTTTTTTTTTTTTTTTAAGATTTTGTTTATTTATTTGACAGAGAGAGACACAGTGAGAGAGGGAACACAAGCAGGGGGAGTGGGAGAGGGAGAAGCAGCCTTCCCACGGAGCAGGGAGCCCAACCTGGGACTCCATCCCAGGACCCTGGGATCGTGACCTGAGCCGAAGGCAGACGCTTAATGACTGAGCCACCTGGGCACCCCTCCTCATCTTTTTAAAAAAGATTTTATTTATTTATTTGAGAGAGAGAGAGAGCATGCGTGTGCACAAGCTGGGGGAGGGACAGAAGGAGAGAGAATCCCAGGTAGACTCCGTGCTGAGTACAGAGCCTGATGCAGGGCTCAATCCCATGACCCCAAGATCACAACCCAAGCCAAAATCAAGAGTCAGACACTCAACCAACTGAGCCACCTAGGCGCCCTATATTTCCTCATCTTAAAATGGGACTAATATGAATACTTTTACCAGAGTCATTTGGAGGAGTAAATGTGATAATATTTATAAAGTACTAAACTTACGCATTCTGGCTTGCATGCCCATAGGGAGTCTTCTTAAGTATAATAAAATGTTGAAACTGTCATGATTATCCTAGGCCATACGTGGCATGAGGCTTACTTAGAAGGACATTAAAACAGGGAACACAGTTAACAAGCAGGGTGGCATCCAGCACTAGTATAATCAGTTCTCCCACCAGTATATGCCTCAGTCTGCATGACCAACCACAATTACTCTGTTTTGTTCCTTAAGTGAAAGGTCTGGGGTAAGAGAATGAGATTCCTATGTACAGGGGTAGCCATAGGCCCTAAAGGAGACTAAAAGCTTTTATTACAACTTATTTATTTATTACACCAGAGCTTCCAAAGTCTCTGCAAAGGACATGTCCAGATATAGGAATTACCATACTTAGAAGCCCGAGGCCAAGACTTTTCCATCAGATATTTATTGTGCATTTGTATTTTCTTCCAAATTGATGCAGTTTACCTATCAGGGTTCATACCCAGTGTTGCCAAATAACACAGTTGATTGACATTGTGTCTTTATCAGGTTTCTGTTGAAACACAGACCTAGAAAGTTAAGCAAGGGTCCAGTTTTCATGCAGAGGAGAAAGAGGTGAAAGTTTTTTTAACCCTTTATTTATAGCCTGACACTTGTTAAGTGCTCAATAAATATGCTCATAGGGAAGCTTCCGGGTTTTTATTACCACTTAACAATTTCTGGGAAACTCCAGCCTGTATGTCACATGTGTAAGTTTATTTGTGCTTTATCCTTGCTATTCCAACATCCTTGCTCTACTCCACGCTGTTCAGCCTGTCATAATAGTTCCTCACCAGTGTCTCCTCCTGCTTTGCTGAGCTTTTGTCAGTCTCCACCAAACTCTCTTTCAGGCTCAGAAGTTTTTCAGTGAAGGCTTCCCTGAGTTGGCCTCAGGTTGGTTAAACTTTGCAGTGGTTTGTTGCAAACTGGGAAAAGTGTTTCCCCTTTGGTTATCCAGAAGAGTTCTGAAGCAATGTTACTTTGGCCCCAATGTGTTATAAGAATTTATTGATTAAACATTTCTTTGAGTTAATTACGTCTGTCCCTTCTCCCAGAGTGTGTATATGTATCCAAAGAATTGAGTTGGCAGTAATTTTGAGTAGTAATTGTGATGTGGTACCCAGGTTTCTTGCTTCTCTCCTTCATCTTGGACTTACGCCGATTTGTCAGATTACACTCCTTCTTTCCCAGAGCAGGATTCTTCAGTACCCTTTGCACCGTCAGTTTAGAGACTTTATTAAGATTTTGAAGAGTGCTTGCTTTGGCGGTACATATACTAAAATTGGAACGTTGTTTTTTTTGTTGTTGTTTTTTTTTAAAGATTTTATTTACTTATTTGACAGAGAGAGACACAGTGAAGAGGGAACACAAGCAGGGGGAGTGGGAGAGGGAGAAGCAGCCTTCCCGCGGAGCAGGGAGCCCAACCTGGGGCTCCATCCCAGGACCCTGGGATCATGACCTGAGCTGAAGGCAGACACTTAACGACTGAGCCACCCAGGCGCTCCCTAAAATTGGAATGTTACAGAGAAGATTAGCATGGCCCCTGCCCAAAGAGTATGAAGAAATACAGAATTGCTTTGTTCTTTTGCCTTTATTGCCATGATATCTCCAAAAATAAAAGCATTTTCATTGTTGCTCTTCTCATCCTTACCTTAATGTCAGTCTTTAGCAGTACTGAGGTTATTTCTCAAAGCAGAGTTGTTAAGCAAACTGGGACACTATTCAATACGTTTCTTGAGATGGGAGTACCAGCTGTTCACTGGATTTTAATTTGCAACTTGAAGGAGACTAAAAGTGCTGATTTTTCTCCTGGGTTTCCGTCCTGAGGGCATAGTGCATAGTCCTTAGGACAAATTCATTTTCGGTAAGCGTGAAAACTAATATTATAATAATTGCACTTTGTATTTTACAGTGTGTGGACCAGTTGACAAAGATCCAAACTGAATTACAAGAGACTGTGAAAGATTTAGCTAAAGGCAAAAAGAAGTACTTTGAGACTGAACAGATGGCTCATGCAGTACGAGAGAAAGCTGACATCGAAGCAAAGTATGTGTTTTAGCTTTTCTGAAAAAGTAATTATGCAAATAGATGTTATTTTTGCCAGTACTTTGTTTTCTGTTAATATAGGGCATAGACTCATTCTTAGGTTATATTGGTTTCATCTGACCTATAAATGTTACATACTTTCAAATTTTTTTTTTATATTGGCTGATCTCATTTAAATTAATACAGCAAAATGAGAATATTCAATCAGTTTTCACATTAAATTGAATTTTGAAAAGGAAAAAGGACAAATGAACATTGTATTGAAAGCTTAGCAAAAGCTGGTTGAAGTTGCTATGGTGTCTGAGTATCCGGGTTTAAGAGCCTCATTTTTTTCATGTTAGACACTAAATCAGTTGTTATTGGAAATCCCTGACCCTCAGCATGCCACTGAAACCACCTTGGACATCTCAAATAAATAAGAGCACTGACCTCAGTATAGAAATCCTGCCCCAGGCACAGTTTCTCTCTTGTGTGAAATTCTAATATATATACCTTTTAAATGTATGCTTTAGCAACTCTGTGAATTTTACATTCAGTACATGTGAATCATAAACCCTTTATTTTGAGAATAATTAGGAATAGAAGGAACTGGCAGTTGGTAATAAAAAGAGATATAAAGTGAGCAGTACAGATTTTTGCTATGACAAGTTGAGGAAAGATAAGAAGTTTTTGAGAAAAAATAAACCTGTGCCATAGAATGAGACTCTAAAGAGGCCTGTTAGAAAACTGACTCTGAACTCCTAGTCATGAAATCAGAAAGGTTATGAACACTTGTACAGACTAACAACCAGTTAGGGGAGGCGGTCTTTCTAATACGTTTTTATCTACAGGAAGCTAAGCAAAATTTAGGGTTTCCTCCAAAGTTTATTTAGTACCAAGGACTGGTAGATGAATACTCCTAAAATACTTAACATTACTGGAAAACATACTTAATATTTCCCTAATTTAGTTTATTGTCTTTATTATTTTATTTTTGTGAGGATACAAATGTTTCTCATACTTTCATAGAGTCAGTGAACCCATCTTTCCAATAAGATCTGAAGATTTTAGATTAGGTGATCTCTAATAGGAATGTCCTGTCATGATGGTTTTTAGGGGAATTTGTTTTTTAAAACTTTCAGGGATTCTAGAACAGAGAGTTGACAGATCTGTAAGAGCATATATAAATACGTATGTTAGCCAAGGCACACAGAGTGAAAATGAGGACAATTCCAAGGCTGTTCCAAAGAAGTGTGGATTTGACAGGGTCTAATTCACAGATGCTCATCGCAAAACACTGCCTTCTAATATGGCCCAGATTCAAAGGGGTTACAGCAAATTAGACATTTTATTTCAGTGTGTAACTTTTCTGGAAAATTCATTCAACTACAGAGTAAGAAATGCCACTTTATCTTCATTCACTTTCTAAATGTTTGTTGAATAATTACTTTATATTGGGTACTGTGAGTACAGAGATGAGTAAGATAAGCTTTGCATCTTCAAGAAATTTAAAGCCTAGAATTAAAGGCAAATGTGTTTAAAAGTAACTTTATGATTATTTATTTACAGTAAACTCAAATTAAGTGCCTGAAGTCACTCACGTAGTAACTAATATGTTTACTGTAGTTGTATGAAAACACTGCTTTGTAAGCATAGAAAATAAATTAATTTTGCCTAATGAGAAGGAAACCTTTATAGAAGAAGTGATGTTTGGACAGAGTCTTGAAGGACATGAGAAGGAAGCTCAGGAAGGGTAGGTAAAGACTGGACTGTGTATAGTTTTGATAGATGATTTGATAGTGAGATATGCATATTAAGAGAGTGTAAAAAGGAAGAGGGATATCTTGAAAGGAAGGATGGGTTCCATTTTGGATATGTAGGTTCTGAAGAGCCTGTGGGACATTGAAGTGAATAGATTTGGTAGGGAGTCATGTATCTAACGCTCAGATGAGAATCTGGGCCTGAAGATCTTGCTTTGGGGGTTGATTGCCTATCAGATTGATAGTTATAGGGATGAAATCATATGTAAGATGAGAAATTGAGTTTGGGACCCCAAGGAGCGTTAACATTTGGAAGTAGATGATGAGGAGGAGTGTGTGGTACAATTCACTATTTGTATATATCTTATATGTTGTAGATCATAATCTTTGAGCATAGGAACTCTATTATTTTACCTGTTACTAATACCTTCTTAAGTACCACACAAGAATTATATGAGGATTAGCAAATGAAACGGAAACCAAAAACTTAAAACCTTATATTGGAAAATCTAGGTGCACCTCAGACTATTTGGATAATGACTGCAAGGAAAAGGAGAATTGAGAATACCCCCAAACAATCTTTTTAAATTTGAACAGGCTCTCTCAAATTTTAAAGTTTGTGGCCTTTTCTGATTAATAAAAACAGACAAAACCCCAGGAAATTCAAATATGGCAAGGTAGAAAATAACAGGAGTATTTTGGACCCAATTTTTTTTTTTTTAACAGGGGAGAAGTAGTTTGGATGCATACGTGTACGTCCCTGAATGTTTCTCTTTTGTTAGAAAGATGATAGGCTGCTTTTGCTATCCTCCTCACATGTGCTGTGCAGAGACTGGCTTGCTCCACCTTTCATTCCCAAAGGGTCTGCAACTTTACTTGGTATTATGGCGTAGCTTCCAGCACATGCACTGAATTCTCCCCTGGCAATCACCATGACACTGCAGTCAAGACAAACATTGCAGCTTCAAAAATCACTGGTCGTGGGAGTGTTGTTATTCCTTACTGTTCGTCTGTTGACTTTCTCCTTCTGGTTATCTCTAGCTGTTTGGGTAAAACCAGCATATTTTTACTATTGATTGTTAGATTATGTTTCCCTCCCAAACTGAAAGGGATTGAGGAAAATAAGGACATCAGAATGGGAGACAATTAAATTGAACAAAATCATATAGGGCAGAGAGCCTAGGGACTTTCTCACTGTGTTCCAAGTACTGTGTTAAGAGTGGAGGGAGCACAGGCTGGCACCCAAACAAGAAGGACGTTTAATGGGAGAAATAATGGAATTAAGGACTTTGAAGAGCCTGGTAATATCATACTGTAGGTTGCTTTGCAGGTGTTGTTACAGCCTATCGCACACAGCCCTGAAAACCTGCTAATTTTTGCCTCCATAGATTGGTTATCTCTCTGGTTTTCTTTAAGCTTTCTTGTAGGAACTGAAGTGTGTGTAATTGTATGATACTGGGAATAACCTATAGTTTGATGACTTTTGTTTATTATGAGATACCAGTATATTTGTCAAGTTGTATTTTTGTCATTCAGGATATTTTTATTAAATATCCCAATATTTCCTGTTCATTACAATATTCTTCCTGTAGAATAAATAAGGGAAAATAATCATTGCTCCTGGCCTTCCATTTTTTAGTTCTCTTTTGGAATAGCATTGTGGAAAAGCGTCACTGTTTTAAAAATATGGAATTATAGGGCGCCTGGGTGGCTCAGTTGGTTAAGCGACTGCCTTCGGCTCAGGTCATGATCCTGGAGTCACGGGATCGAGTCCCGCATCGGGCTCCCTGCTCGGCGGGGAGTCTGCTTCTCCCCCTGACCCTCCCCCCTCTCATGGGCTCTCTGTCTCTCTCATTCTCTCTGTCTCAAATAAATAAATAAAATCTTTTAAAAAAATAATAAAAATAAAAATATGGAATTATAATACTTAATAAATTTAATATAATTTGATAACTGTATTAAACATGCTGTATTTTCTGCTTTATTATAGATCTAAACTTAGTCTTTTTCAATCAAGAATCAGTTTACAGAAAGCAAGTGTAAAGGTGAGTTTTTGAAAACTGTATTTCACAATTGAGAAACCTTAGCTTATTAGAAGAGAATTGGGTTTTTTGAGGGTTTAAGTCAATTATTTCCACCTAATTTAGAGAAGCATTTTAAAGTCAGTAACTTAGGGAAGAAGTTTCCTTCCCAGTTCATGGGAGTTTTCCGCCTAGATGTCAGCACTTTGGACACTGCTTGCTTCTCAAGATTGCTTCAGAGATAGGTTTCTATACCTTATCTGTTTTGGTAGCCTGTTATCCATAACTCCTAGTCCAAGAGACTTGGTCCACGGGCTTTAGAAAATCTACAAAATCTGTTTCATTCAGATTTATACCCTTGAGCAGATACTCTGGGCCAGATCCAAGTGAGATTTTCCTGTCAGACCCTTGAGCTGTAGAATACCTAAGTAAGTTTAGTGACCTGCCTTTGGCTGCCAGGATCCCAACTAGCACACCGTTCTTTTGGCACATGAGGAATGCTGATTTTTTTAAAAAGATTTTCTAACTCCAACAGATTTACCCATGTCTTTGAAGAGAACGTACTTAACTTAATTTGGGAACCTTTATTTTCCCATCTGAATAAAATGAGCAGAATACTTTGAAGTATTTTGAAAAGCTTTGGAAATATGTTGAGTGTAAATAACAAACGTGTGAAAACACTCTCACCACGTGTAACAGTTCTAATCATTGTTTATTTAATTCCTCATAGTTGAATAGTTTTATATGCAAATGAATATTTCTCTACATGGTTACCTTTAGTCTTATTGGGGAGCCATTAATTGCCAGCTAAGAATGGTAACCTCATATATCTTACAGTGCAATGTCAGTTTGCATTGATTTTTTTTCCTCTTTTACTGTGTTTTAGTTAAAAGCCCGGCGATCTGAATGTAATTCTAAAGCTACCCACGCAAGAAATGATTATCTTCTTACATTAGCAGCAGCAAATGCACACCAGGATCGCTACTATCAAACAGATTTAGTTAACATTATGAAGGTAATACAGCCTTAATATCTGTGGTTATTTGTTTCATTAAAGACAAAAACAACTCATGAGTTGAGGTAGATAGGATCGAGTCAGTAGAATAGCAATTCTTTGCAGTTCATTAAACTATACTTGATATTGTTTGGGTACCCTGTCTTTCTGGTAATTCTGAATTAATTTTTAATGTAAGAAAGTATTTAAAGCCAAATCACAGTAAAGAGACTAACTGTATTAGTTTCTAGCAGTGGCAGATATTTACTGTATAATGGTTATTAATATATGATAAAAATAAGATTATTTTTTAAAGCTTAGATTTTTTAAAATTTTGTAATTTTATCTTTAATTAATAGGTAAATGTGTATGTTAATGTTTTATGATTTTGAAGCACCCATGAGAAGAAGGGAAAATGTCTAGTAGTTATATGAAAATGTCTCTACCCTAGGTATCTGCTCTGAAATGTAGATAGATTTGTATTACACTTTCTTGTGTACTCAAACTCAATTTGGTCTTTCCCTGTTTATACATGTATATGGTTTTTTTTACCTTTCACTGAAGTAAAAGAAAAGGGGTGGAGAAGAAAACCTTTTTAATCTACTGCCAGACCCCTGTTGCTGGTATACAATTTCTACATAGAGTGTATCTCATTTTCTCCTGTCTTCTTAAGGACCCAAACATTTGATTATTCTGTCTTTCTCTTATATTTTCATCCGTCTCAAATATATTGTTCTTAGATTAGAAGATTAACACAATATAATGTGTTAATGTTCTAACACATTAATTGGGGCGCCTGGGTGGCTCAGTTGGTTAAGCGACTGCCTTCGGCTCAGGTCATGATCGTGGAGTCCCGGGATCGAGTCCCGCTTCGGGCTCCCTGCTCGGCGGGGAGTCTGCTTCTCCCTCTGACCCTCCTCCCTCTCATGCTCTCTGTCTCTCATTCTCTCTGTCTCAAATAAATAAATAAAATCTTAAAAAAAAACCAAAAAAACACATTAATTGAATTGCTTGCTTTGCAAATCATAAGCTTTGAGAATGGGGATGTAACAGGAGTGGGTGTTCTTTTTTTCTACAGTGGCTCTGGAAAGAGATAAACTCTGTCTAGAAACTATAAGTTCTTTCCTTTAAAGTGGACAGGATGTTACCTGCTACCCTCAGAGAAAAACAGGAGTGATAGAAAGAGTCAGAGTGGGCTAAGAAGTATCCAGTTGCAAAATTTTTTCGGAAATTTCCTCTTTGTTCATTGCCTGAACTCTCCTTTTCCTAACTTCTATCCTGTTCGGAGTTCTGGTTAGAACATAGGCGGTAAGATGTTTTGACATCCCAGATGAGAGCTCTGTATACATTTCCTCATGAAATGGTGGACCTAGAGGTTTAGGCATTTTAGTATCTTATTAGGTATTACATAATGCTTCAGATTTACAAGAACCAACAAGAGACTTGACCTCCCATTATAACATGCTTTCTCTAGGGAAATATTTATGTATAATCAGTCTTAGACAACCCATTCATTAAAGAAGATATTCAATACAGTTTGCACTTAAAGTTGTGATTCCCTGACTGGGGAGGGTATGTGCTCTGGCAAGCGCTGTGAATGGTGCAAGACTGTTGAATCTCAGATCTGTACCTCTGAAACAAATAATGCAATATATGTTAAGAAAAAAAAAGAAGAAGAAGAAGGTAGCGGGAGGGGAAGAATGAAGCGGGGGAAATCGGAGGGGCAGACGAACCATGAGAGACGATGGACTCTGAAAAACAAACTGAGGGTTCTAGAGGGGAGGGGGATGGGAGGATGGGTTAGCCTGGTGGTGGGTATTGAGGAGGGCACATTCTGCATGGAGCACTGGGTGTTATGCACAAACAATGAATCATGGAACACTTCATCTAAAACTAATGATGTAATGTATGCGGATTAACATAAGAATAAAAAAAAAAGTTGTGATTCCCTGTATACTGTCCACTATTAAATCAAAGCTGTTGACTATATATTTCCCCTTTAAATACTTTAAAATGAACATATTAGTTGAAGCAGCAGCTAAATGAAATCTTTGTTTTTTAAATTGAATCCATAGCGAAAAAGACCTCTTTCTTAAAACCCTATGGCCTTTGACAAACTGGGAAAGGTACAGTATTATTTCGGGGGTGTACCTTCTGCCCAAAACAAAGAGGAAGTTAATGGGCCTGGCCAGCTGTCAGATTATATATCTTTGAACTTTGCTTTGAAATCCTAATGCAGATACTTGATCAGCATGGGTAGGTTATGCTTCAGATTACTCATTTCATGAGACATTATAAGGTACTAGAATGATAAAACAGAAGAGAAGCAGGAGTCCTCTTTTGTCCCTTAAAAATAGACAGATGTATTCTCAGTTTTCATGTTGTGTGTGTGTGTGAATTCATTTTCTTCCTCATGTTAATTCTGTAGTCTGCAGTATTGGAAAACTGTCATCAATCATATTGTTAGCTACTTAGTGAGTTTCTGTCATTGAATTGACAGTGGCCCTTCCGTGCCTTTCTTAGAAAAGTCTTCTTTTCTGAATTGTTGTTAAGGTTATAATGCCCTAGCTAGGATCTTTTTAAACAAATTCTATGAATAGTTTTGAAGCAGGAGGTTTGATTCATTGATTAAATCATAAGCATTTAATAGTCACTTACAGTGTTGTAGGTACTGGACTACACTTTGGGAAGAAGCAAAGATGAGTAAGACACTCTATCTTCAAAGAGCTCAGTTTGGTGGAAGAGAGAGAATTACATAGAAATGATTACAAATTAGAATAATGAAATTACTGCTAGAGGACCATTATAAGTAATATTAACAGCTATCTTTTTTTTTTCATTGCTTAATATTACTCTGGCATTATCCTAATCACTTTAGGCATATTATCCTTTATAATTTTTTTCTTTATCCTGGTTAGAGTTCATAGTTCATTATTTAAATAACACTCTGGCCTTGAAATGAAATGAAATGAAATTCCAACTCAAGATGAACCCAGATAACCTCTTTCTTTGTACCTGCATCCAAGTAGCCAAGTACTACTGAAGACAATCTTTCAACAGACAGAACACATTCATGTTCATAAATTAATGTGGAACCAGTCTCAAATGGACCCTGAGCATTGGGTCCATTTGGACATTTCCCTGGTTAACTCCCTAATATTTTTAACACTTTCTTCAACTTTTTTCCATCTCAAACCTCAAATTTATCTCTTCTCTTTCACACTTAGCAAGTGGTTTTTCTTCCTAATTTACAGAGAAAATACAAGCCATTAAAAGGGAACTCCATTATTTTCCCATTACCTGCCTTCATGTGTGTTCAGGATTCCTCCAAGGAACCGCAACAGCAGAGTTGTTCCTTCTGTCTAAAGATGATCCTTTCACCTTGGTTTTGGATATCTCGTTCTCTCCTGCCTTTTCACGATCAAAACAACTGATTATTCTATTTTCTTCTTATATTTCTTGGACATTGTATTCTTAGGTTAAAAGGTTTAGAAGAAAAAAAAGAGTGTAGAAGAGACCTTAAATGCCCGAGGGGGAGAGCGAAGTAACTGTTGGGTGTCCAGCATGGCCAGGTGCTCTGTCTAGATACTTTAAATACCTACGTTCAGGGGTGCCTGGGTGGCTCAGTCGTTAAGCATCTGCCTTCGGCTCAGGTCATGATCCCAGGATTCTGGGATCGAGTCCCACATGCTCGGCAGGAAGCCTGCTTCTCCCTCTCCCACTCCCCCTGCTTATGTTCCCTCTCTCGCTGTGTCTCTCTCTGTCAAATAAATAAATAAAATCTTTAAAAAAATAAAATAAAAAAAATACCTACGTTCATTTAGTTTTCATAACATCTTTTGAGCTAAATATCATTATCCCTGTTTTACAAATCAGATTGCAGAGCCTCAGTGAGGTTCAGTGAATATGTATGTATTAGGACTTAAAGTCTTTATGACTTCACAGCTTGTGTTCTTTACTACATATCACACTGTTCTTTTCTACATTGCATTCCAATCTTCTTGATAGTATAGATGAGTATAATTAGTAGTAGCCTACTGTGAATATCGTAAATTCTGAGAGAACTGTAAAATAAAATTAATAACTGAAAATTACGAATTCTCCCCTGTTCTAGTTATTATAAAGAGTAAGATCATGTCAGTACCTAAATACCAATATTTAGGCAGGTTCCCCAAGGAATATTTTGTGTTCCTTATGCCAGTACTCATTAAAGCAGATACTAAATACACCACGCTGTCTATCATCAGGCAGGCATTTAAAAAAAATTTTATTATGTTATGTTAATCACCATACATTACATCATTAGTTTTTGAAGGCAGGCCTTTTTGAACTCCACACTAAAACAAAACAAAAAAGCTATTGTGAGGCCATGGAAACCAGACTACTGATTTTAGCACATCTGTAGAAAGCAGTTCTACTGGCTGCTGGGAAGTAAGGTAGTTTTTTCCTCAAAACTCCTTCTTTTGCAACATATTCTTGTACAATATGTAAACTGATATTTTTATAAGCTCGTGTAGTATTTTCTTAATGGTTTCGCTGAGGAAAGATGAAGCACAGTGCATCAAAGTAGAAAAGGGAAGAAATGTCCAACTAATGAGAATTTGAAAAGTTTAATAATACTACGACCTTATTTCTAGAGAAATATTTATTGTCTTCAGTGGAAGCTAAATGTATCTGGACTAACTGATAATTGGGCAAAGTAATAAAAGTTAAACATCTTTCTATGTGAAAGAAATCTAGAAAATATGATAATATGGCATATCTTTTGCAGATACTTGTTTTGGTTAAATGAGAAGAAAATCATTATTGGTATCCAGCTCCCTTATTTTTATGGTTTTTGCAGCTAACCACTAATTATTTCAGAAGTTTTCCTCATTCACATGTGGACATGGAACTCATTTTTTTTTAAGTCATAGCTCTTTTGGTTTCCCTGCCACATAACTCTCTAGCTGTTGTACTTCTCTTTCACCCAATAAAGTTTGTTCACTTAACAAATTATCATGGAAGTCCCCAAATCTGAA